TTATTTTGTTTTTGTTTTTGTATATTTATTTTATTTTATTTTGATCTAGTATTTATTTTTTGAAGTTTTGGTAATTGCGAAAGCCAACAAAGAAATTATAACAAATAATAACAAAAGTAATAAAAAATAAAAATAAGTTTATAGCCAAAATAATTAAAGCCCGTACACTACATCAGATTTGTCCCTATGGCTAAGAAGCACACTTTCAGTAATTGTAAAGCATTACATTTATTGGTCAGTTAAAATCTTTATTTTTAGGATTGATCATTTTATAAACAAATAATACTACTAATAATAATACTACTAATAATAATACTAATAATAATAATACTAATACTAATAATAATAATAATAATAATAATAATAATAATAATAATAATAATAATAATAATAATAATAATAATAATAATAACTTTATCACATTACTACGCCACCAGAGGGCGCAATATGGTAAATAAAATAAAATACAAATCATAAAAAATACAGCAGCTAAATAGACTAAACTATGATAAGATAACAATAAAATTAAGAGATGTTAAAAGGTTAATTAGAACAATTGAATGTTAATTACAGGATTCTCCCATTGTACATGTGCTAGCATACATATTCATGTACTTCATTTCTGTTTTGCTTCAGGGGTATAAAGCATGTCAGTATGTTATTGAAATTGTTTGTTTCATTTACATGTAGTTTATTTCTAATTTCTATTTCTTGAAACAGCTCCCCCCTTTCTTTGCCGAAAAATTTACGGTCTAGGATAAAATGCAGAATTTGTATCGCAAAATCAAAATCGCTCATCTGCAGGAATCGTTGGTTGTTGTTGTCTGCTACTTTCAATTTCTAAATTATGATCACTAAGCCTAAATTTACTCACACTTTTCCGAAGGCTGAAGTTTGTTATTTCGGTTCTTCGTGTTTATATTTTCAAATGCAATTTAAACAATTTATATGTTCTCATTGTAGCCATCTTTGCCATTTTCACTGTGAGGAGAATTTAAGCTTTTTTTCAATAATTTTTCATAATCTTTTGTGAGTTTTATTTTAACAACATTTGATATTTGATCAATGTTATTCACATTATGGTTTAATTTTATTTGTTTCAAAATCATTGTGGCCCGTTATATTTTCTATATGTTTTATCCAGCTATCCTGCTTTGACCTATACTATTAGGTATCACCCAAGTAAGTGTGTACGATGTTGACTGCTCTCATACTTCCTGTAATTTAGTTTTAGGCTAAATGTATAACTGATGTTCGTATTGCCATGTAATAAATAGTTAGCCTGTATCCTGCTGCTGGCTACTTCGTGTGTGATTGACTGAATGACAGTAATGTAGGATCTCGCAAATCAGTGCTGACATCTAGTATCCGCCACGGGATTGGTGGTCGTCAGTAAAAAACATACTGTTTTCATGGATTTGCTATATTCTAAATGACGGCGTACTATACTGGTATAACATTGCTGTTTATGTTAAACACATTGTTTACATTTTGGTCCATCTACTCACAGTAGATAAAATGTATTATGATAAAAGTATTAAAAAATTTAGTTTGTCTTTTATCTACCCTTTGTATAGTGAACTTTCCTTCTTATCAAATGCCTTCGCCGCCTATTTACAGAAATAGAATGTTCCGCTTATCAATGACCTTCATACATAATAATATTTACTCGGTAAAAATCAGTGTACATGTTGAATGCCGCGTATATTCTGTGAATATGGCGAAGGTTATTGGCGAAGAGAACAGTCCATTATATACAGGTTTTGTAGATAAAAAGACTATATTTTATTTGATAATACATTTTTCCCTACTCTATGTGATCTACGTCATGTTTATTACGTCATAATAACACGTCGTCGATAGGAGGCGTGACTTATGGGAAACAGGCATTTAGTTTTTCCCCCAAACAAGTGGTGGTACGAGTGGTAAATCGACTGTTGTGACAGAACACTGCTGTATACGAATGTCTTTAACTATTGAAAATGTAGAGATAGATACAGGCAATTGAGTTAACTCCAGTAGCCTTACAAGCCTATTTCAGAAATAATTTCCCTGGTATCATAAGGGATCAATATGATATTTTTTTCGTAATTGCCATTTTTATTTGTTCTATTTTTTTTATCTGTATCTATTGTTTGTGGTTTATTTGCTCTTTTTCAGATATGATATATGAAAACTAAAACTAAATGCAGATAAACAAAAAATAAATTGAACAAATAAAGAAAGGAAATTAAAGCTAAAATTGCAGTCTATGACCAACATGAGATTTTAATCATATTACGTAAGAGTACAAGTCATGTTTACTCATAGTAGCGCATCATCGCTAGATGTATAACAATTAACTACCCACCTCACTAAAGGCATTTCTTCTGATGCGGACATTGCTGTTCATTTCATCACACATAACCACAAAAAACACATTACGTGTTGCAACATGTGCTTTCTTTCAGTGTGTACCGTGTCGAAATATGACGACATCACGGAATATATGTAAATGTCCCTTCAAAACACACAATTGTCGTTCTTTTTTGTGATTTTTCTTCATTCCTTGTAACTTTTCTTTCTTTCAAGAATAAATATTAGTGTTACATAACATCTATTACAAATATCGTATTATTTCAGCCTTATATTTAAAGATTTCACTAGCATATTAACATAATTATGTTGTTATTGGTGTTTTAGCAAAACAACTGTTAAAAGCATTCAAACTTGACCCGGGGGGTTGAAAGTCTGGTAGTTGAGTTCTCCTGGCTGGTTTATTTTTGGTAATTTGAACGCAGAGCGCCATGAGCGGTGGACTGGGGAGGACCTCGGACCACTCAAAGTTTTTTAGTGGTCTGAAAGCGGGATAAACTATTACTAGACACAGCCCCTCAGCTCGATACCCTGTCTACTACTATGATAATGAGATGTCCTAAGACGTCTCGAGGATCAACCAGGAAATGGCTCATTCCATTGCAAATACGTAAACACTCCGGAACTGTGAAGTGTGCTGTGTATGCATGAATCACTCGCCGCGTCACGTTGGAGATACGGTCACATATCCTGCAGCATTTACAAGTTAAACATGGAGATGAACGAGTTCTGTGTGAGTCTCTACGCTTATAAAGGAGAGGAACAAGAGGACGCATTGACGTTTAATCCAGGCGAGAAGATCACGCTACTGGAGAAACCTGATGGCGGATGGTGGAGAGGAACCAAAGGCGGTAGTGTGAATGGATGGTTTCCTGCGTCATATGTCAAAATTGAGGTATACTTCGTTCGACTTTGTTGTCAAAGTTTACATATACGATCGTTCAGTTTTCATTTCACTGCCTCTTTTAACAGAGGCTTGGCGATCAAGTGTGCGGTTGGTTGCCGAATTCTAGTAGGAAAATTACCTAGGTTTAATAGAAATGATGAAAAAATGACCAAAATACGACAATTTTGGACGTTTTTGTTATTTCTAAGCAATATTTCCTTGCTAGACTCCGGCAACTAACATCGTAATACTTAGGTCACCAAGCTTTTAACCTCCATTGTAATAAGTATGGCCTACGATAAAACTTAGTTGTGTAATTTTAAGCCATGACGCTCCTTGAAAGCAAACTCCCACGTAAGTACGTCGAATGTCTTCAATTTGTATTGTGTCTGAACATGGACCTGCAATCCCACGGTTCATTTAGATACATAGTCCGAATAATTTGCACTCAATCGGAATCGATCAATATAACTCATCAATTATGCAATACATTGTCACAATATTTGTTACGAACTATTGTTGCTAAATGTAATTGTTTTAATTGTCGATTGATTTCCATCGAAGACTTTGTAAACAAATCTGTTTCTCCTTTCTCCTTTCTCCGTGTCTGGTGTACATTTCATATAAATAACTGAGGTCAGTTTAACTTGTCACAGTCCTTGGACACTCTGGTCGTCCAAGGTCATGGTTGGTTCAATCTAAATCATAGAATATTATCTGACAATATATACTCTGACAACAATAATGGTGAATGTAGTGTTAATTATTTGAGACTGTATGCTTAGCTTGTATGGTGTTTTATAAAGAAAAAAAAACTTTAAAATTTTAGTTTCCTGGATATGGTTTTTATTTTTATGGTTGTGCTTTGTTGTAACAGTGAATTAATCGTGTAGATTACTGTAAAATGACTAATTTTCACTGGGTTTAAATTTCACTGATTTACCATTTCAGGCATATTCAGTGGGTTTTAAATTCACGGTTTATATTTTAAATAATGACATTATGTGTTTTAATGTGCTCAATTTTACATATTCACTGGGTTTTAATTTAGCGCATTTTCCAGTCAGCGAAATAAGCAAAATTTAAACCCAGTGAATAATTAATCGTTTTACAGTATAAGATAGACTCTACCTACTCTATGTTACTTGTCTGAAGTAGACAAGGTTCACCTACATGTGGTGTACTCATGAATTTGCCTTATGTCAATTTCATGTCAATTTCAAATCAATGAATGTGATAAAGGGACATTGACAATAAAAACTCCATGTTCCCTTTGAACGCCATATTTTTTGGACTAAAATATTAGTATTACATTTTGCACATTTTTGTGTCATTTTAACATAATTTCCAATTGGATAATAAATCTGGAAAACATTTTTTGGAGAAATGTAAAGGAAAAAAACAGTTTTGTGGGTTTTGAACTAATCATGGTTAAAATATCTAGCTCTTATAATTAGTGTAAATTGGAAATTCAAGGAAGATCCTTAGAACATTAAGAAAAAAACTTAAAATACCTGTTTTCCCTAAAATAAAATCAACAATTAAGAATGTAATCATGAGTAAATGTTCGTTCTGTTGGGCGTATCATGAGTGTACCTATTATAGATATATATATATGGTACCACGAGCTTGGGAGTTATGAGCTTCGTAAAGTTTTTTTTTAAGTGACTATTTCCTCAACATTGAAATGCAGATAGAATGACATAAAAGAATCCCTTCAAAAAACAGAACTTGCAATAAGTACAACCAAGGTTATATTACGGATGAATTTCATTTTCTAATGGAATGTTATCAATATGAAATCAAAGCAAAAAAACTATTCACATTGGCTAAATTATTTTTATGGCAAACCTATGACAGTTCATCTTATTACTCAGCGATGAGCATATGTTTATTCAAACTAGGCAAATTCATTGAATACTTCGAGTGCTTGCTGTAACTATTTTGAGTGCATGTTTTTTTTTAGTATTTCGTCAATTCTGGCCCTTTTTTTATTTGATTTTGTAAACATTACTCTCCCCCTATGGAATGTGTAAGGGTTTTGAAATAAAGGGTGGCATTCAAACTATCGTATCATACCGCTGATGTTTGTTTCCTGGTTGTATTACCACATTACGTGTTTGAATAAGAACTATCCAGACTAATCATTAAAAGTCTATGGAAAGGGCACTGGAAAGAGGATTGCATACTTTCTCTGTAAACAAAATCATCATTTTTATCCCTCATGAGAATATTAATAGAAATGATAATTTATTTACCTCATCCTGCATTCAGAACAGGTATCTGGGGTATTTGATTTATATTTCAGAATCAAGGAAGCTTATTTATGAATATGCAAAAATTGCACCTGTAGGACAGAAATGTATGAATAATTAACACTGCAGGTGTGCATATATAGTATGTGATGAATTGATGGAGTAAGTGGCAAAAACATTTTAGTGTCAATTTCGCTGAAAATAGCGATGTTCTTTCTATTGCATGTTATGTTTAAACATTTATTGTACGCGGATGTGCAAAGATCATGACATGGGTTTTTCAGCTGACCTTCCTGGTTAAGTCAATATCTGTATCAGCGTACCTACACAAGTTTGAAGGATAGAATATTTTGAGTTGGAGGAGGAGAGAGTTTAGTGGTTTGGATAATTTGAAAATATTTTGAAATTTGAAGGTTTTTATTCTGATATTTATTTATAAAGACAAAAATTAAAAAAAAAAATATTTTTCATATCATTATGAACATTTTTTCTGTTTATTTATATTGTACCAAAACTTGCATTAATATCTGAGTGTATCACATCACAATGTGTTAACTAGTTACCATGGAAACTATTTTTCTATCAAACATTATTCCATTCGTACTCTTGTGTTTTGAGCAATATATGAAAATTGATTCTTTATTGCCATCATGCCCCATATATGGGCATTTGATACAATAAGTACAATGAAGTAAAAACATTTTTTAAAAAAATATGAATTTTAACCTTTTTACCACCAGACTTTTTCACGCAAATTATTCAGCACTTTTTTGTTATATTCTTCAATATTTCTGGAAATGAACCCTAATTTTGGAAGCAACAGACAAAATATGAGTCAATGTCCAGTTTTTACTCAAAAAATTAGGCTATTTTTCTCCCAATCTTCTAAAGGAAAGTGCAGACTATAAATAGGACTATTTTGTGAATTTGTGAAGAAAAGAGGGAATTGCTGGTGAAAAGATTAAATCTAACTATGAAAAACACAAAAAAGAAACTAGAATTTTTAGACAATTAATCATTTCAATCCGATAATTTCTTTTTCTAAAGCAGCTGCTTTGAACATTTTAATTTTAATTTGAATATTCTCATATATTAAAACAATTATTAATTGTCATATTATTTATGATGTTTCTGGTTTAGAATATTAATTATTAACTTTCCGTTTTCTGTCTTGAGTGATGTTTTCTAAACAAATTGTCTTTTTTTGTTACTGTAAGAGGACTGGACACCCCCTCCAACACTCCCTTCACCCACCCTTCCACTATCTGTCTGATCTTAAAAATAGCATAGCATAATTACATGCATTTAATAGTAATTTGATTTGATGAATGAGAAATATTTTTTTTTACTATTTTAATCAATATTCACCTATGTTTATTTCCAGACTCCTAGTCCTATAATTTCCCGTCATTCGAAAACCGATCTACCGAGTGATTGGACAATATACCAATCACCGGAAGGAAAACCTTATTATGTTCATCAGGTGACGCGAGAAACCAGATGGGAGCCGCCAGTCGAGATGATGCCAGACATAACCAGGGAAACAGGTAAGTATTTTCAAATATTTCAAATATTTCTTGGTTGGTTCTGTGTAAATTTCTATCGTCCTGTCTCAAACTTGCCGTTTCTCTGCAAAGTTTTGGATAGGATTGTTGCTTCTCAACTGACGGACTATCTTACTGCAAACTCACTTCTGGAACCACTACAATCTGCATATAGAAAGTACCACAGCACTGAAACAGCTCTTCTGAAAATCCATAATGACATTTGTTCTTTCATCGACTCTACGTATTACTCTGTCTCCTGGATCTATCAGCTGCATTTGACACCATCGATCAATTTTTTGTGATGATATCTTTAATTCTCTAATTTTGATGAATATTTTTGTCATTTTTGGTAAAAAGTGATATTTTTGACTTCTTGTTGAAAACCAATTGCTACATGTAGACCTGTCTCAAATTTGTTCATTTTCTAATGATATCTTCAATTCTTTAATTGAAATGTGCATTGCTAACAGCGGAGCTATCTCAGCAGACAGGCTGCTTGTTTTATTATATCAGTACATAAGACATTAATCTGAAACACATTTCATTTTTCTTTCTTTAAAAAATAATATTGATTAATAGTATAATTATGATAAAATTTTATCTTTTAATATGAATGTGATATTAGGCAATCATTTTAATGCATAAGTAAATGTTTAACAGACAAAATAATAAGCTTTAATATCACCTAAATTTGTCTGGCACTGTAATCACTCATGCACTATGGTACAGTGTTTACTGTGCAATCTCTAGTGGGTAAAAACATATGGTAACCATATGAGTGACCTATTAAACCATCTTACATGTCAAATGAAAAGAAGGATTATTAGAAATCATGGTGAATAATCTTGCCTGTAATTCTTTGTAGACGTATGCAATGAAAATAATGAACCAGACAATAAACCACCACTGCCGTCCAATCCAGAGGTCTCTCCACCTGCATCTCCAGCACCAGCCCCGCCAGAAAATTCAACAAATCAAAACAAACCCAACACAGTCATTAACAAACAGTTTATTGTAAGTATGAACCCTACATTTTACAGGTTTTGTTTCCTCTTGAGGAGGGGGAGCTTTGTGTGTGGAGGTTAATACCTTCAGTAGATTGTATTGTGCTCTGATAAGTTTGTTCATGATTTGCCAAAAGTCAAAGGTCATGTGTATATTTGTAACTAGTTTCATTGAAAGAGTGATCAATGGTACATGTCCCCAATCCTAACCTTCTAAAAGCTCAAATAATATTTTTTTTGTTTGGTGGCTGGTTATTTAAAACTTTTCCTTACATTGAATGGACTGTAAAATACTTTATTTTCGCATGGAATTAATTTTTGCTGTTTTTTAAAAATAAAAACCATTGAATAAACCTTTTTCCTATATTTTACATTCAACTCGTCAAAAATCAGTGAAAATAAGTTCCATACAAAACACCCAACAAGTCTTTTCAGCGAAAATTAATTCCAGCTAAAATAAAGTATTTCACAGTAAGCAATTTCAGCAGCTTTTTTTTGGTAATGTTATTAAGTTGTTTGTCAGGAGGAAAGTATTATAGTACTTTTTTGACAAATTCTTTAGTTAAAACAATTATTTATTTTTGACCAATGTTTGATATATCTATCTTTATTTGTTTTATTCTTGACAGATCAACAATTTAACATTTCCACATCCAGACACGTTAAAAGACCAAAGTTTATTGAAACCAGATGAATTCAGTTACTGTGACTATTTTTGGGTAAGTTAAGGATACCTTTGTGATGTAGTAGCAAGGTGAAATATGTAATTTAAAGTAGTTGGGTATAATTAAAAATTTCTTGACTTTTACTATATGGCTTTATTTTATGCAATTGCTCACAAAATCTCCCAAAAAATTATGATCACTAACTATGTTTCACACATGATATTTGTGATTTCTAAGTCTTTCACCCTTGGTTCCTGAAAAGATTACATCATATCACAACATTTTTATATATGGTATTGATGATTGTGAATTATTTGAAAATTCTAACAAATACTAATTTTTTGTTTTGAATAAAAAAAGCCCAAAGTTTTTTGACTTGTGCCTAAATCAACAAATATGGAACACTTTTAAAAAAAAAACGTGATAATTTGATGGCTGTCATTTCAAATGTACATGATTGATCTTAGGGCACATTGACATTCATTGCTCGTAATTTATAATAGAATGATTCAATTACTAGTTAATTAACATAAAATATTAACTAATATACATTAAGTGTTACAGACAAACCTGTGTATATAGTGAACATCTAAGGAACATAAAACCCTAAGCCCATTTGAAATGTTTTTGTAATATTTATTTTTAATAATACGTATTACAACAAATAAAACAAAAAATAATAGAAGATTTTTCAAATGCATCTAACTGTTTACTTTCCTAAAACTACTGGGTAACTATGATGTCATGTCAATCAACTTTATTTTATTTAGTAATAATTTCTGCCATTAAATTACTATAATGTACTGTATGAGAATACAAAGCTCAGATCAGAATGCTCTAAGAAGCTGTGATTACTACAGATATTGAAATCAAATAATAAATTATATACTAATTTGCTTATTATTCCAAACAGAAATAAACATTCCATTACACAATTATTCATTTACAAGTCTCTTGTTGCATCATGATAAACTACACATAGGGGTTCAGTTTAATTAACTTATTTAAAAAAACAAAACAATGCCACAGTGAAGATAAACCACACAGGCAGTCAGGATAAGGACATTGGAAGTACCACAGCAGTGTGGTTGTAAAACAAAGCAATGTGCCAGTACCACCACGCTTTTTGCATCCTGGGGAGAAAACTGAATCACAAGATTCAGTCATTGTCATCAATTACCATAGTAACCGATATACCCACCATGATTGATTCACAATTGCACTCTATCATTGAATATATTCGTAGCATATGTCAGAGGTCAGAGGTTAATGTGTGACCTTAACAGCTAGTGATTTAATTCCTATAGAATGTTATGACTAAGAATGTACATCACAGTAAATGCTATCACACTGGGGTGTCAGTGGCAATAAAGCAGGTGCTTTATCATGCATGATTCATATACCTCTTCAAAAGAAAAGCTTTGGTTTCTGTAAGATTCTTGTATTTTAATTGGTTTTATAGGTGTGGTTTTGAACTCGCTTTACATTTAATTTGGACTAGAAGTTTATTACGATCAATGTACATAACCACTATAGACAGCACTCTGATGAGATGCAAACCTGCGCCAAAATTTCTTCAATATCTATATACACTCTTTAAAGTATAATTTATTTATTATGGTTACAGAAGTATGGTCAAAAATGTGTTTGGTGACTCTGTAACCTTGACTTTTCTTCTTAAAATCTAACCAGTTTGTGTTGGTCACATGGGTAACATGTGTATTAAGTTTTTATCGATTTTATATGTTGTTTTTTTCATGTTGTGAATTGTAAGTTGTGAGCTTTGGCACTTTTGTTTTTTTAGCTCCGCTGTCGACTTTGTCGAGCGGAGCTTATCATATGAGTGATTGTCCGTCGTCGTCGTCCGTGTCAATGTTTTACTTTTTCGACTTCTTCTTGAAAACTACAAGCCTAAATGCTTTGATACTTGGTGTATATGTACCTTGGGTAGACCTCTCTTAGGTTTGTTCATTTCATGTTGATATCTTTAATTCTCTAATTTTGGTGAATATTTTTGTCATTTTTGGTAAAAACTATATTTTCGAGTTCTTGTTAAAAACCGAAGGTGCATTTGCTTTGATATTACATCTATAGGTACTACATGTGGACCTCTCTCAGATTTGTTAATTTTGTAATGATATGTTTAATTCTTTAATTTTGGTGAATATTTTTGTCATTTTTGGTAA